TGAGCGACGAAGAGACACGGGTCTTAGGCGAGATGACGTAGCGACCTTACGCCGCGGCATGCTTTATTGGAGACGAGGGCGCTTACGCGCGACCTTACGCGAACAGCTTACGCGCCAATATCGGCGAAGACGGCCCCGTTTTCTGCCGCACAGGGGGGTAGGGGAAGGGGGGAGGCTTCCTAGAAGAAGACTGTTTCTTAGAAGGCGCCGGCCCTACCTCTGCAGGCAAGGCCCACGTCTCGTAAGAAGCAGCCTCCTTCTAAGAAGCCTTCCCCCCTCCCACTAGCCCCCTGTGCGCGCCGCCAAGATACGGTGGGGCCATCACGAGCAGCGAACACATCCGTATCCGCTCGCGGTCTGGACTCCGGAGCGCGATCCCGCGGATACGCGGTCGCACGGATGCGTTCCGCGCGGGGCATCCGCGATTAAACGCCCCGTATCCGCGGGGTCGCGGCCAAGGGGCCCGGCCCGCGGGGTCGCGCATGAGGAGATGCTTCTTGCGCCCACGAGGGCATTGGATAAAGACCTGGCCTTGGACAAGGAATCCAGGGCCTGGAAGCCGGCGGAACTCCAATCCTGGATTGACCATGGACATCACCGCCGCCATCATCGGATAAGGATTGGCGGCGCGCACAATTGGGTAGGGGGAAGGGGGAAGGTTTCTTAGGAGGAGGATGCCTCTTAGAAGGCGCGGGCCTTACATCCACAGAGAAGGACCGCGCCTTCCAAGAGGCAGGGGTGCTTCTAAGGAGCCTTCCCCCCTCCCCCTACCCCCCTCTGCGCGTGGCCGAAAGGAATCCCCGAGGGTCTGAAGCCTCCGGGGCATATTCCTTACCAAGGCCGCGCTGACCGCGTGCTTGGTTAACGGTGCTGTTGGAAATATTGTTTTTGTCACACCGAGCTCACGCAAAACAATATGTAGGACATCACGAAACACCGTTTCCTGCATGCAGATATGCGAATGTACAGAACGAAAACGACGCAGCGACTTGTAGGAAAACACGAGCCACGCGTTCCTACACTTGGTTTGGCCACGAACCACGCCTTCCTAGAATTCGTTTCCCTACCTCGCCGTCAGCTGACACACCGTTAGCGCGTCTACGGCCTCAACCAACGCCCCCCGCCGTACACCTCCATCGCCGCCGGCCAGGCCCGCTCCCTGTGTGCTCAGGAGCGGTGTGCACGCCCCCTGGCTTGGCCGAGGAGGCTTTTACTTCGGGTGGCCCAAGAGGGGGTCCAGCTGAAAGGGGGTGGTGCCATAGATTCGGGGCGATTGGATTGCAGACGTCTCGCGCAGGAGACTCGTGTGGCGCTGTGTTGCAAGTACTGCATCGCACGCAAAAGTCGAGCAAAACATCTTGCGCCCCGGAGTGCACTGCACGCCCTAATAAATGTACTGCCAACCCCACAAACCTATGGCACCAAATCTATTGCACCACCCCCTTGTCCAGAGACCCCCTTGTGGGTCAACCCGGCTTACACACCGCTGGCCGGGCCCAGGATGGGCCTGGCCAGCGGCGGCGGGTGTGTACAGATCTCGTCGCGCGTGGCTCGACCGCGTGGCCCTGCCCCTCGCACGAGCCGAGGGTTGAACCGACGCGGCGTTTCTTGTAACGCGTGCATGTTCTTTCTTTTGTTCCGGAACTGCGGCGGTGTCGATTCGTCGTTGCGCGTGAGGATCACGAACGCCAAGAGTTTGGGCTACGAACTGGGGCATCTGCATGGGAACTGCTGGTCTACGCACATGGGCACACAACATCGAGCTGGCATTAATTGTGGCGCGTGTGTGTTCTTGAATTCACTTCGCCTGCACAGGCTTCGGTCTAGCTCCGATCAACAAAAATCGCGTCGCCCTGCACCCGCACAGGTCTCGTCGCCCTACACCCGCGTAGAGGAAGAGCAAACTGCATCGACAAACTCTGTCGACGGCCGAGACAAACAAAAAAAAGCTGGCGGCGCAAGCGGCGCCGCCACTGGCGTGCTCCGCGAGCCAGGAAGGGGGCTCCGGCACAGATCAAAGAGCATCCGCGCAGACCGTCGGAAGTGTATGATTGTGCCGTGTTTTGCAGGCGTCCTTTGAATTCTGGGTGTCGACATTCGGCCGAAGGGAGGGCGGGGGGGGGGGAGGGATCTGAGTCTGGGCTGGTGCTTCGTCGACCTGCCTGCACCAGTCGCGCAGGCAGCTTGAGGGAAGAAGCGGCCCTGACCATGGCCGCCCAAAGCAGCCAAGGTCTGGTCTGTGGAGGGGGGGGAAGGGGGAGTGAAGGGGCCCTGGGACACACAAACAAATACACACAAATAAAAGGAGATTCCCCATATTCCCCCATATCTTCTGTGTGTTCGTCTTCCCCCCCCCTTCCCATAGTCTCCTTTATATTTTCCTGGGAGTCGACGATTACCATTGTGTCTGTGCGTTTTTGTTCCCTCCTGGGGGAGGCATCCCGGTTCTGTCCTCCAATTCCTCTACCTCCTCTGTCTCGCTTTTTTCGCATTTGTTCGAAGAGTTGCCCATCGCGCGCTCTTCTGCCCACGCGTCCCTCTGGATGCTCGGCTTGGTGGTGGTGGGTGGTGAGGGAGGCTGGGGGCCCGCGCCCATCGGCGAGGCCACGAGAATCGGGCGACGAAATCTATACATATCCACTGCTCCCTGACCATGCCCATCTTGAACCCAGGAGCTGTGTATGCGCCCTCCTGGCCAAGCCAGGAGGGCGTGGCGTATACACCGCTGCGGGGTTGAGGATGGGCCTGGCCTGGGAGCAGTGGATATGTATAGATTTCGTCGCCCTACCATCGGCGAGGCCACGAGAATCCAACGCGGCGGCTTCCCTCCTCGAGCCTCGAGGTCCTCGCCGCTGCTGACGCTCTCGTGCGGGCGCTCCCGCGCCAGCGGCGCGGGCGCCGGGCGCGGGGGGCGCGCCGGCCCCATCGCGCGGCGGCGGGCGGGCAGGGAGGAGGCTTACGTCGAGCCTGTCCCCCTACAGGGGGATTTTCGACGAAAATTCGGTTTGGAAAAAAAACAAAAAAAAAAAATACTCAGAAAATAGTCTGGGAACTATGTTTTGCATCTGTTCTGGCCTTTTCGGAGCATGTTTGGGGTATGTTGTACCTCTCGTCGAAAATCCCCCTGTAGGGGGACACGCCCGACATAAGAGGAGGCGGGGGGCGGGGGAGGTGCGGGGACGGCGACGACCACAACCACACCGGGGGCACACCCTGGGGGATGCCTGGCGCATGCCACAAAAGTGTCAGAACACCGGGACCAGCTTTCTGGGTGGTCGTGGTCGATGTGGCGTCCCAGGACGGCAAAATCGACCACGACCAGGACCAACGTGATCGTGTCGAGGTCGGTGGGCTATCCCCCAAAGAGGCCCTCCCGAAACATCCACTCGGTTGTGGTTGTGGTTCTTCGTTGTGCCCGGAGGAAGGCGAGCGGGGGTCAGGGAACAACAAGTCCTGGGACACCTTCGTAACAGTGGCTTCAGTGAGGACATCGCAGGCCGTGTCCGCGCCATCGCGGTCTGGACTCCGAGGCACGATCCCGCGAATGCGCGGTCGCACGCATGCGTTCCGCGTGGGGCCGTCGCGGCAAAACGCCCCGTAGCCGCGGGGTCGCGGCCCGAAAGCCGAGCCCGCGAGGCCGCGCCTACGGAGATGCTTTTTATTCGCCCACGAGGGCATTGGATAAGGAACCGTCAGTGGATAAGGAATCCAGGGCCTGGAAGCCGGTGGAACTCCAATCCTAAACTGGCCATGGATGTCACAACCGCCCTCATCGGATAAGGAGTCCCCCAGGGTCTGAAGCCTCCTGGGCTCATTCCTTCAGAAACGCCCCCACCGCAAGGGCTATTAGGCCAGATCAAAGTTCCACTGAACCGACGTAGCCGAGATTCGGCCCAGGACAGGCCCGATGTGGCGGGATTGGGCGGAACGGACCGGGACGATCCCCGTTTTCCGACCGTGGCTTTACCAGCGGCAATGCTGGATCTAACCTCCCAGGAGCTGCATCCTGACGGGGGGGGAGGGATACAGTGGAGGCCAGCAGTCCAAGAGAAACCTTCCACCAGAAACCCAACCCTGAGACCCCAGGAGATCCATAGATTTTTGGTGCGGGAACGTCACGCTTTCCGTGCGGAAACCATCTAACTCCAAGAAATTTAGGGCACCCGGGAGGCAAGCAAGGTGTTTCTTGGCATAGGCCCCCACTGTAGCAGATGGCTAGCCGTTTCGGCGCAGAGCGGGCGAGACCGCGAGACACTCCCTCGACCGGGAGCGTGAGCCCAAAGGAGTGCGGGTGTGTGTGTGTGCGGGCGGAGTTGTCTGCACCCGCCTCAGAAACAAGATATACGCCCTCTGCCTTGGACGAAGTGTATCTAAATCAGGCTGCGGCCCCCCTTGCCGAGCGTAGTCCCGACAGCCTTTTCGAGCCGAGCCCAGCCGAGACAGGGAGGGGACTCCCACGGGACCCTTACCAGGGCATCGAGAGAGCAGCCGTGTGTGACCGGGAAGGGATCTCGCAGTCGCTCCCGCAGGGAGTACTGTGTCGCCAGGCGTGAGCATTTTCCATTGGCTCCCGCGAGCCACCGAGCGAAGCGTTTCGGTCGGGGGGGGCGGGGCTCCTTGCCATGATTTGGCGGCGAGCCCAGGGGGGAGGAGGAGGAGGAGGAGGAGGAGGAGGAGGAGGAGGAGGAGGGAGGAGGAGGAGGAGGAGGAGGAGGAGGAGGAGGAGGGGAGGAGGAGGGGGGGGGGACTGAGACGGGGCGGGCCTTCCAAGAGGACTCGGAAGGCCTCCGGCCTTCTGCAGACTTTTCCGGGCCTCCCCCGAGGACGCGGGAAGCTCCCCGGGAGGCCGGAGCGCTTCTGAGAAGCCCCGCCGCCCTCCTCCCTCTCCTCCTCCCTCCTCCTCCTCCTCCTCCTCCTCCTCTCCTCCTCCTCCTCCTCCTCCTCCTCCTCCTCCTCCTCCTCTCCTCCTCCTCCTCCTCCTCCTCCTCCTCCTCACCCACGCTCGCCGTCGAATGATGGCCAGTGGTCTCGCTGGCCCAAGATGTTCAGCTTCCATTTCGCACGTATCCCGCAAGCGTGACGCCCTCCACGGCGCGCGCGCCGGCGACCCCCGGCGCCCGTTCCGCCGGCGCTGCGGCTCGGAGCTGCCCGGCGTGAGCAGGTCGGCGCCATGCAGCCAGCCAGGCAGCAGCGTCTCTCCCCCCTCCCCCCCTGCTGGCTCCTGAGCTCGGGTCGGGCGAAAGGGGGGGATAGCAAAGGGGGGGTTTGAGAATCAGCTCACGTAACTGATTCCCCCGGCGCCTCCCGGCGCCAGAGGCGGCCATGTATCGAGGAATGGGCCCCTCGGCGAGGCCGAAACCAGCTGCACGCAGCAAATTTCGTAACCCCCCCTTTCCCAATCCCCCCCTTTCGCCCCGCCCGATGAGCGAGCAGGAGCAGGCCGCCCACAACCAGAACCTTGCCCCACGGATCAGCAAGCGCACCTTGCCAATTTCTGCGAGCGGGCAGAGCACCAACCCTGATGCTGCACCCACGTGTGATGCTGCCTTTCCCATTCCCATGGAGACGAGCCGCAAGATCCCACTCCCAAATGAACATCGCGGCTGGTGTTGAACCGACCAGCAGCAAGTTGTCGAAATCCGTGGTCTTGACGCCATACCAGACAAATGACCCACATGTGCTAGTCGGGAGAAAAACACACGATAAATTGCCCAGCCCGCGTTTCCAATCTTCGCAATCTTCATTCGCATGTTCTGGCTCGGGACGTCCAGATGATAGAAGCTCAACATAAAAGCGTCGACACAAGCCCTCTGCAATCTTTCCGCGGGGAAAGGGCGGCAATGTGTGGAACGCACACCCTGCATATAACGCATCGTGGCTGTCACCACGCAGCGACAACGCCCTCAAGCTCGTAAAACCCAAGTTTGTCTCAGCCTCCTTGTCCCCGTTTTTTCAGCCTCTCCAGCTTCCCGGCGTCCATTCCGAAACGGCCCACGACTGCGTCTGGCTCCGCTTCCGCTTCAGTCATGTCGCGCAGCAACGACCACGCCTGCTGCCATCGCCCTGCTTTCCAGCATGCACTGATTACAGAGCTGTAGCTTGCGACATCTGGCGCCATGCTTTTGTACTGCATCTCGCTGATCAGCACCAGAGACCGCTGCCATTGCAACCCTATGCCGCTCGCCGTGGCTGCCGCACCGTAGCTGACGACGTCCGGCTCCAAAGTCATGCCTCCAAGGTCGTCGAACAGCGCCAGGGCCATTTGCCAAACCCCAGCTTTCCCTGACACGACGATTCCAGCGTTAATGTTCAAGACGCTGAGCTCCAAGTTCGAATCGATCATTTCGCTGAGAAGCGTCACCGTCTGGTGCCAGTGGTCGCTTTTCTGACACGCTTTGATTCCAACACTGTAGCTGACGAGGTCAGGTGTCAACATCACTCCCCCCATCTCGCGAAGTAGCGACAGCACTTGCTTCCACTGCCCACTACTTTTGCACGAACTAATTACAAGACTGTAACTGATGACATCTGCCTCCAACTTCGCTTCTGTCATGTCTCTGATCAACCACAATGCTCGCTCCCACTGCCCACCCATCGTGCAAGCGCTGAGTCCTGCACTGTAGCTGACGACATCCAGTTCCAAGCTCGCGTCCCGCATATCGCCGAGCAACCACAAAGCCCACTCCCACTGTCCAGCTCTCTTGCACGCGCGTATTCCTGCACTGTAGCTGATTACATCTGGTGCCACACTCGCGCGCCCCATATCACTGAATATATGCAGCACATGTTGCCACTGTACACCTGGCTTGTCACACAAAGTGATACCAAGATTAAAATCCAAAAGATCAGGCACCATATTTGCATCCTTCATGAGCACCACAGCCATGTGCCATTGACCACTTCTCCGGCACCCGTTGACTGCAACGGTATAACAGTTCACGTCTGGATATCCGCCGGCCCCCTTGCGGGGCCACCAGACTGCGAGGGTGAAGATTGCAGCTCCCTGTTCCAGTTGCAGTTTCCACTTTCCACTGTTACAGTCCTGCTTTCTGCTTCCTTATGTACTGTTAATTGTTGCTGTCCGCTTGAGGGGTGAGAGCCCCAAGCGGGATGTTTTACCACGCCCTGGGAAGGTTCTCAGAATTCCTGGGGGGCGTTCTCTAAATTATGCCAGATCCGCGTCCCCGAAGCCATAAACCTTTGTGAATTACACCATATTCGCGCCCCCGAGGCCATAATCCCTGGTAACTTGCCCAAGATTCGCGTCCCCGAGGCCATACATCCTTACAAATTACACGATATTCGCGTCCCCGAAGCCATAGCCCCTCGCAAATTAAACGATATGTGCGTGCCCGAGGCCATAAGCCTTCGTGAATCATACCATGCTTGCGGCCCCGCCGCCATAAACTTTCGTAAATTACACCGTATTCGCGCCTCCGAGGCCATAAACCATCGTAAACTACGAATGTTCGCACCCTCAAGGCCATAAACCCGCGTAAATTATATAAAATTCGCGTCCCAGAAGCCATACAACCTTTAAAGTACGCAATAGTTGCGTCCTCGAAGCCATAAGCCCTTATACCAGTCTCGCGTCCCCGAAGCCATAAACCTTCGTAAGTTACGCAATTTCGCGCCCCAAAAGCCATGACCCTTCGAAAACTGCACAATATTCGTAGTTGTGGGATTTTCCGCAGTTTGTGTAGTCCCGGCATTGCTTCACGCAAGCGTCCAGACATCCCAACACAGCTCTGGCAAGTCCCATTCTAAGAGAGGAGATCGGCGGCAATGGGCGAAGCCCTCACGGATAATTTCGCGTCTTTCATCTCGCTGACCAAAGACAGAACGTGCCGCCACTTTCCGTTTTTGCCGCAAACGCTGACTCCAGCAGAATAGCTGATCATATCTGGCGCCAGCTCAGCTCCCACCATGTCGCTGAGCAGCGACAGCGCGTGCTGCCACTTCCCACACTTCTCGCACGCAATGACCCCATCGGCATAGCAGCTAGCATCGGGGTCGACCGTCGATGCCCCCATACCTCTGATCAGCAATATCGCCTGATGCCAATGACCAGCAGCACGGCATGCTGCGATGCCAGCGTTGAAGGTGACGACGTCAAGCTGCAGCCGCGCTTGATCCATTTCGCTGATAAGAGACAATGCGTTCCGCCATTGTCTGGTTCCCTCGCATGCCTTGATTCTGGCATTGTAGCTTGTGGCTTCCAGCTCCAGCAGGAACTCTCTCACTTCGGGCGGCACCTGCTGCCAGTCCTCATCTTGGTCGAACAGGCTAGCCTCAAGACCACAAATGATTACATCAGGCTCCAACTTAGCATTCCTCATGCTCGTGATCAAAGACAACATGTGACGCCACCGCCCGCCTCGTCTGCATGCGCCGACTCCAGCATTATAGCTGATGGCGTCGAGCTCCAACGTCGCCTCACCCATGGCTCTGAGCAGCGACAAAGCTCGCTCCCACTGCCCACTGTTCTCGCACGCGCTGGCTGCAGCACTAAAGCTATCGACATTCGGCTGTAACTGTGTTTCTGCGACGTTGCTCAACAGCCATAGCGCCTGCCGCCAAGACCAAACCTGCGCGCAAGCGCGAATTACAACATTATAACTGGCAGCATCTGGTTGCAACTTCGCTTCCATCATCTCTGTCAGCGCCCGCTGCCACTGCCCACATTCGCTCCCAAAGGTCCTAATATCTGGTTCCAGTTTTGCTTCCTGCATAAGAGTCTGCGCCCGCTGACCCTGCTGACATGCTTTGCAGACGCGGATGCCAGCACTGTAGCTAATACCATCTGGCTCAATGCTCGCCTCCTTCATTTCGCTCAGAAGCGATACGGCTTGCTCCCACTGCGCACCTTCATCGCACGCGACAACTCCAGCACTGAGGAGATCAAGGTCCAGCTCAATGTTAAGCTCTCTCATTTCGCTGAGCAACAGCAGTACCTCGTGCCACGCGCACAAGCTGATACCCATTTTGTAGCTAAGTGCATCCGGTTCCAACTGAGCATTCCTCATCTCGAAGAGCGCGCGGCGCCATTGTCCACTCCTTTTGCAAGCGCGGACGCCTGCGTTATAGCTAACCGCATCTGGTTCTGTCTCTGCGAGCCTCATGTCACGAAGCAACGACAAGGCATGCTCCCATTGCGCGCCTTGTTCGCAGGCGCCCAACGCAGAATTGAAGCTGAACGCGTCTGGCTCCAACTTTGCGGAGCACATGTCTCGGAATAGCGACAACGACTGCTGCCAGAGCCCAACTTGCTCGCACGCGCTGATTCCGGCGCAGTAGCTCATGACGTCCAGTTTCAAGCTCGTTTCCAACATTTCGCGGAGTAGAGACAGCGCCTTTTGCCACTGCCCAGATTCTTCGCACGCGCTAACTCCACAGCTGTAGCTGATAGCGTCTGGTTCCAGTTCCGCTTGTCGCAATTCGCTGAGAAGGGACAGCGACCACTGCCATTGCCCTGTATTAGCGCAAGCGCTAATCGCGGCATTGTAGCTGACAGCGTTGGGACTGATTTTCCTCTCACTCATCTCACGAAGCAGCAAAAGTGCCTGCAGCCACAGGCCACCTTTATCGCACGCGCTGATCCCAGCACTATAGCTGACCATAGTGGCGCTAAAAGGGTGCTAAGTTGGCGCCTCCTCGCCGATTACCAAACGCTTATCAACGCTAAGGCACTCGAAAGACGGAATTACGAGGGTATACAAGGCTGCCATGGTTTGCTACCGAACAAGGCCTCTCCAATACAGGAGGCACTGGGAGACAAGAGGAACGCTGCCTCGGCGCCGTGTTGGAGAGAGCTCAGATTTGGGTATTCATCTAGGAAAGATCGCGGAGACAGGAAACGGCCAGGAAACAGGACACGACCATGGTGGAGCCGCAGACTGCCATTCACCCAAGCTGTGGTGACGACAGCAAATGTGTGCCGAGCCCACCTGCAGGTCACGCGGCGCCGCCTTCCTGCGATGTGGTTGGTTTTGGCGCACAGGCCAAAGAGGTCGGCGCACCCCAGCTGAAATGGAAATCGGCGGGCCCGCCCGGCTCTTCTAGAGGCCTCCTAGATAGGGTCCGAGTAGATGGGGTCGGAGGATCTCGCCGCATCGCCGATGCATTGGCGATGCGCTGGCGGCGTCGGCGATGCATCGGCGACGTCGGCGTGGAGAAAATTTGGCCCCACAACGAGCCGCATCGCCGATGCATCAGCGATGCGGCGCCATCCTCCGACCCCATCTGCTCCGATCCCATCTAGGGGGCCTAGGTCTTCGCAAATACAACGAGGCACTGCGAGACATTGGGGGACGCAACCTCGGCGCCGTTTTCGCAAGAACTCAAACTGTTACCAGCCTCGAACGTATCCCTATCCCTAAGATTGACACGCCAAAAGGCGATGACAATCTTAGGGATTCGCCCTCAAAACATAAGGAAATCCTTAGATTGGCATCGTGATGAGGAGATGCCCAGCATAGGGACAGGGATATGTTCCACGCTGGTAAAACTGGTGTATATTCATCTAGAGAGGAACGCGGAGACAGCAGACGGCCAGCTAGCAGCAGTCCGATCCGCCGACGGTCTCTGGGGCCCGTCCCCACCTGGGGGGGGGGGGGCTGGGGTCCTGGGAGAGATTCCAGGGCTGGCCATCGCTCGGACGTCCATTCCCTGTGTTTTTTTCGGTTTCGAGCGTGGCTTTTTCGCCAAATGATCAAGGATGCTCCTCGATGGTCCTCGCCGAAGGAAAAATGCACACGTCCGAGCGATGCCAAGTCATCGCCGCCGTAGTTAGATCGAAGGGAACTTCCTTCCATCAGATCCCTTCCCCACCCTGGGAGGGGACCAGAGTCCCTGGGGGCTTCAGCAAGGGATCCCAGGGGACTCTCGGGGGAGTCCGGGGTCAGATTGCACCCCCCCATTTTTTTCCCAACCAACCATCCTGTGGTGTTGGGTCCTCGCGTTGAAGAGACAGCGCCCCGCGTCTCATCTCATCCTTCCTCCTCCCTCCTCCTCCTCCTCCTCCTCCTCTTTTCTTTTATTAATATTATTATTAGTAGTAGTAGTATTATTATTATTAGTATTATTAGTATTATTATTGTTATATTATTATTAGTGATATTATTAGTATTATTGTTATTAGTATTATTATCATCATTATCATTATTATTATTAGTACTAGTAGTAGTAGTATTATTATTAGTCGTCGTCTTCTTGATCTTCTTCTTATTAATATTCGACTTAGTTTTATTATTCATGTTATGAATACTATTCTTACTACTATTACTTTTTATCAATATTATTAATAATATTGATAGTATTACTATCATTTTTATTATGAATATTATTAGTATTCCTCCTCCTCCTCCTCCTATTATTATTATGAGTCTTATACTTCGTATCATTACTTTCAGTATTATTATTGTTACTATCAGTACTAGTTTAAATAGTATTATTCTGTTTATTATCGTTAGTATTCCTCCTTCTCCTCCTCGTCCTCGTCCTCGTCCTCGTCCTCTCCTCCTCCTCTTCCTCCTCCCTCCTGCCTCCTCCCATCCGCGCCTCGGCCCTCCACACTAGTCAACCATTTCGGCACACCCCTCGCACGCCTCGTGGCCCCATAGGGGGCTCAACCCAAGGCCACAATGGCTGCGTCCACATGCGTCCGAGGCGCCCATTTCGGCACACCCATCACATTTCTCGTGGCCTCATGGGGACCCCCCACCGAAGGCCCCAGCGGCTGCGTCCACATGCGCCCCAGGCGCCCACTTCATCACACCCATTTCGGCACTCCCATCACACGCTTCGTGGCCCCATAGGGAGCCCCACCGAAGGCCAAGTGGCTGAGTCCACATGCGTCCCAGGCGCACTCTCTGGCACACCTCTCACACGCTTCGTGGCCCCATAGGGAGCCCCACCGAAGGCCCCAGTGGCTGCGTCCACATGCGTCCCAGGCGCCCAATTTCGGCACAGCCCTCGCAGGTTTCGCGGCCCAGTACAACGCTTCGTGGCCCCCCAGGGAGCTCCACGGAAGGCTCCAGTGGCGGTGTTCGAATGCGCTTCCCCCACCCAATACAACGCTCCATAGCCCCATAGGGAGCTCCATTGGAGGCCCCACTGGCGGTGTTCACATGCTATTCCCCACCCAATACAACGCTCCGTGCCCCATAGCGAGCTCCATCGGAAGCCCTAGTGGCGGTGTTCGCTTGCGCTTACCCTGCCCAGCACAACGCCTCGTAGCCCCAAAAGGAGCTCCACCCAAGGCCCCAATGGGGGTGTTCGCATGAATTTCCCCCACCCGTACAACGCTCCGTGGCCCCATAGGGAGCTCCACCGAACGCCCCTGTGGGGGTGCCCGCATGCGTTTCCCCCACCCAGTACAACGCTCCGTGGCCCCATTGGGAACTCCACCGGAGGCCCCAGTGGCAGTGTTCGCGTGCGCTTCCCCTGCTCAGTACAACGCTTCGTAGCCCCATGAGGAGCTCCACCGAAGACCCCACTGGCGGTGTTCGCCTGCGTCTCTCCCACCCAATCCAGCGCTTCGTGGCCCCATAGGGCGATACGGAACTCCACTGGCGGCCCCAACGGCAGTGTCCACATGCGTTCCCCGCCCAATGCAGCGCTTCGTGGCAACATCAAGAACTCCAACGAAAACCCCAGTGGCAGCCCCGCCCGATTACCGCGCACCCGTCACACTTTTCGCGGCCCCCTGGCGGATTCCGCCTGGAACCCCAATTGCAGCGCCCACATGGCAGCCCCGCTCCAGATCGGCACACCTGTTGCATGTTCATGACCCCATGAGGAGATCCCCCGGCGGCGATGCCCGCAACGACGGCATTCACAATGCATGTGTTTGGGTCCTTCGCCAACGTAACTCCCAACCCCCCTGCGTTGGATTCTCGTTTTGAATCAAGCAATGAGGTCCTCCTTCCCGCCTCCCTCACCTTCTCTTGCCTCCTGCGTCCTACCTCATCCTCCCCTGTCCTGCCTGCCAATTGTTGGTTTGTTTTCTCCTGTCCTGGATGCCAGCCTGCTTCCAACCTCGCCGTCCTGCGTGACCTGGCCATGTTTGGAAGGGGTTGCGGGGTGCAAAATCGCCGCCATGTTCCAAGGCTTCCTGGCGGGTCAAGCAGAGTGATGCGCTACGCTGATTGAAACTAAGACCTCGCCACCCCGAGGGGCTGCGATCTACGGCAAAATGTAGCGACTTTCGAAGGCGTCAAAAGGGGGCCCAACGGAAAAGGCGCTACGCATATTCAGATTCGACCTCACCGTCCTGGGGGGGTGCAATATGCGAAATGGTCGACACGTTCGAAGGTTGTTGGGAGGTCAGGCGGAATGACGCGCAACGCAGCTTCAGACTAGACCTTGCCATGGTCCGCCATGCCTGAGGGGCTGCAGTCTGCGATGCGTCCGCCACTTCCGAAGGCTGTTGGGAAGTCCCGCGGGGTGACGCGCTATGCAAATTCAGACTAGACCTCGCCATCACTGGGGGCTGCGATCTGCAACACCTTCGCAACGTTCGAAGGCTGCTGGTAGGTCCAGCAGAGTGACGCGCTCGCTACGCAGATTCATACTCGACTTCGCCATGCCTGATGGACTGCGATCTGCAAAATTGTCGCCACTGTCGAAGGCTGCGGGAGGTCCAGCGGAAGACGCGCTGCTCAGAATCAGTGATCTGCAAGCGGTCGCCACTTTCCAAAGTTGGTGGAGGGTTCAGCAGGGTGACGCGCTGCGCAGATTCAGATTCGGCATCGCCATCCCCTGGGGCTTGCGATCTGCGAAACTGCCGCCTCTTTCGACGGCTGCTGGGGGGTCCAGCGGAGTAGCGCCCTAGGCGGATCTAAACCAGACCTCGCCGTCCCTGCGATCTGCGAAACGGCCAACAAAAAGACGCCCACGGCCTGCCAGTGCCAGGTCTTTCTCCGCGAAGGCATTGCCGACGCTGGGCGCAAGGGCGCGGAGGGCCTGGACGACCTCTGGCTGCGTCTCCTCCGCGACGACGGCGGACATCTTGCTGATGATTCGCGACCCCAGAGTGGATGTCCTTTCGCGCGGGCCGCCCGCAGGCCCGGCGGCGCGCCTGCAGGCGTTTAGCTCCCGCAGCGAAAGGTGCAGGATGGAGTCCTGGGGGCCGATGGGCGAGCTCGGCCCCGCACGCTTCCTGCATTGCTATGAACAACTGTTCCTTTGGACCGCTGTTTGTCCAGCGTGCGATTGGAGAATGGAAGCAGAAGAAAAACAAGAACTTGCAAACATAAGCCTGGCGAGCGAACCAACGATATGAAGTTGTGAGCACCGCAGTTGCCGGCCTCGTCTTCGGTGGAGCTCCTTTGTAGGGCCACGAAACGCTGTGCTTAGTAGGGGAGGCGCATGCGGACTGCGCCACTGGAAACTTCGGTGGAGCACCCGAGGGGGCCACGAACCGTTGTACTGGGTGGGGGGGACGCATGCGGGCAGCGCCACTGGGACCTTCGGTGGAGCTCCCTGGGGGGCCACGAAGCGATGCACTCGGTGGGGGAGACGCGTGCGAGCATCCCCACTGGGCCTTCGGTGCAGCTCCCTATGGGGCCACGAAACGCAGTACTGGGTGGGGGGGACGTATGCAGGCTGCGACACTGAGACCTTAGGTGGAGCTCCCTATGGGGCCACGAAACGCTGCACTGGGCGTGGCGGACGCATGCGGGCTGAGCCACTGGGACCTTAGGTGGAACTCCCTAGGGGGCCACGAAACGCTGTACTAGGTGTGGCGGAAGCACGCGGGAACTCCAACTGGGGCCTTCAATGGAATCCCCTATGGGGCCACGAAGCGCCGTACTGGGTGTGGCGCCCACGTGCCAGGCTGCGGGCGCGGCGCCGCACGGAGTCCCCGCGACTCGCGCTGGTCGCCCCGAAGGGGTCCTGGCAACGCGCGCGGGTCGTCCGTTGCGCGGAGCAGACAGAGCGAGCAGGCTGGCTCCCGCCCGGGATGCGCGGCCCGAAAGCGGCCTCAACAAGTCGAATACGACGAAAAATCTTCGAGAATCGAAAGTCGCCGCTATGCGAACTCCGCCACTGAGCCGCCATACGAGTTCCGCCACGGAGACCTTAGGTGGAGTTCCCTGCGGGGACACGAAACGCTGTAGTGGGTGGTGAATGACGCATGTGGGCGGTCCCACTGGGGTCTTCGGTGGAGCCCCCTTTATGGGGCCACGAAACTACTGGGTGGTGGATGACGCATGCGCGCGGCCCCACAGGAGCCTTCGGTGGAGCTCCCTATGGGGCAACGAAACGCCAGGCGGTCCCACTGGGGCTTTCGGTGGAGATCCTTATGGGGTACCGAAACGCTGTATTGGGTGGTGGATGACGCATGCGGGCGGCCCCGCTGAGGCCTTCGGTGGAGCCCTCTGTGGGGCCACGAAACGCTGTAATGAGTGGTGGATGACGCACGCGGGCGGTCCCAGTGGAACCTTCGGTGGAGTTCCTTAGGGAGCCAGGAAATGCTGTGCTGGGTGGTGGATGACGCATGCGGGCGGTCCCACTGAGGCCTTCGGTGGAGCTTCCTATGGGGCCACGAAACGCTGTGCTGGGTTTGGGATGACGCATGCGGGCGGTCCCACGGGGGCCTTCGGTGGAGCTCCCTTTCTGGGGCCACGAAACGTGTGAGTGGTGTGCTGAAGCGGGTGATGACGATGATGATGGGGGAGGGAGGAGGGAGGAGGAAGGAAGGATGGAAGGAGAACGCCGGGCGCTGTCTTTTCAAAACGAGGACCCAACACCACAGGATGGTTGGGAAAAAAAACCAGGCGAAGGACCCAACCAGATGCAATTGTGTGTAACGCGTTGTGGGTGCCGATTTCGGTGAAACTCCCTATGGGCCACGAATAGCGTGAGGGACGTGCCGGAATGGGTGGGGGAGACGCATGCGGGCGGTGCCACTGGGGCCTTCGGTGGGGCTCCCCATGGGCCACGAAACGTTGTCCTGGATGTCGCTGGCGCATGCGGGCGGTGCCCCTCGCTGGAGCTCCCGATGAGGCCACGAAACGCTGTACTGGCTACGGGAAACGAATGCGGGCGGTGCCGCTGGGGTCTTTCTGTGGAGCTCCCTACGGGGCAGCGAAACGCTGCATTGGGTGGTGGCCGACGCATGCGGGCGGTGCCACTGGGACCTTCGGTGGAGCTCCTTACGGGGCCACGGGAGGGGGGGACGCATGCAGGCATTGCCACTGGGGCCTCCGGTGGCCACTGCAGCTCCCTACGGGGCCACGAAACGCTGCACCGGGAGGGGGGGACGCACGCGGGCGGTGCCACTGGACCTTGAGTGGAGTTCCCAATCAATGGGGCCGCGAAATGCAGTACTGGGTGGTGGACGACGCATGCGAGCGGTGCCACTGGGGTCGTTCGGTGGAGCCCCCTTATGGGGCCACGCAACGCTGCACGGGGTGTGGCGGACGCATGTGGCCACCCCCACTGAGGCCTTACGTGGGGCTCCCGATCGGGCCACGAAGCGCTGTACTGGGTGTGGCGGACGCATGTGGCCACCCCCATTGGGGCCGCAGGTGGACCTACCTACGGGGCCACGAAACGCTGTACTGGGTGTGGCGGACGCATGTGGCCACCCCCATTGGGGCCTTACGTGGAGCTCCCGATGGGGCCACGAAACGCTGTACTGGGTGTGGCGGACGCACGTGGCCACCCCCACTGGGGCCGCAGGTGGGGCTCTCTATAAGGCCACGAAACGCTGTACTAGGTGTGACGGGCAGGTGGCCAGTGGGGCCTTGGGTGAAGCTCCCCATGGGACCACGAAACGCTGTACCGGGTGTGGCGGACGCACGTGGCCACCCCCACTGGGGCATTGGGTGAAGCTCCCTATGGGACCACGAGACGCTGTACTGGGTGTGGCGGACGCATGTGGCCACCCCCACTGGGGCCATAGGTGGAGCTCCCTATGGGGCCACGAAACGCCGTACTGGGTGTGGCGGACGCACATGGCCACACCCAATGAGGCCGCAGGTGGGGCTCCCCATGGGGCCACGCAGCGCGTACTGGGTGTGGCGGACGCATGTGGCCACCACCACTGGGGCCGCAGGTGGGGCTCTCTTTGAGGCCACGAAACGCTATACTGGGTGTGGCGGACGCATGTGGCCACCCCCAGTGGGGCCGTACGTGGAGCTCCCTATGGGGCCATGAAATGCTGTACTGGGTGTGGCGGACGCATGTGGCCTCACCCCCAATAGAGGCCTTACGTGGAGCTCCCTATGGGGCCGCGAAGCACTGTACTGGGTGTGGCGGACGCATGTGGCCACCCCCATACGGGCCTTACGTGGACCTCTCTATGGGGCCACGAAGCGTTGTACTGGGTGTGGCGGACGCATGTAGCACCCCATTGGTGCCTTACGTGGAGCTCCCTATGGGGCCACGAAGCGCTATACTGGGTGTGGCGGACACATGTGGCCACCCCCACTGGGGCCTTACGTGGAGCTCCCTATGGGACCACGAAACGCTGTACTGGGTGTGGCGGACGTATGCGGCCACCCCCACTGGGGCCTTGTGTGGAGCTCCTTATGGGGCCACGAAACGCTGTACTGGGCGGGTGAAACGCATGGAGGATGGAGGAAGGGGGAGGGGGAGGAGGGAGGAGGGAGGAGGAGGAGGAGAGGAGAGGAGAGGAGAGGAGAGGAGAGGAGAGGAGAGGAGAGGAGAGGAGAGGAGAGGAGAGGAGAGGAGAGGAGAGGAGAGAGAGAGAGGAGAGGAGAGGAGAGGAGAGGAGAGAGAGAGGAGAGGAGAGGAGAGGAGAGGAGAGGTGGGACGCGGGGACCGTCTCTTCAAAACGAGGACCCAACACCACAGGATGGTTGGGAAAAATAGCTAACTCGCATGCCACGTTCATCGGTCAACGCCTCCCCCTCCCCCCAATGTGCAAAGTTGGAGCTGGATCTGATGAGTTGCACTTCGACCGCAGTCTCCCCCGCGCGTGCCAACTTTGAGTTTGGGGAGCGGGGGTGTGTCCACGAATTGTTCCCCCTATAAGTATTCGTCTAGAACAAAATGGAGACAGGAAACGGCCAGATAGCATTCCAATCAGCCGACTGCCTTTGGGGCCAAAATGGGGAGGACACGGATGACTCCAGCACGCCGGGGGCTCCTGAGAGCCAGCGTCAGAGCTTCAGACAGCCATGTCCAAGCTGATTCCAGACTGAAAGCGCTCCCTAGCGACGATGCACTGCAATGCTGTCATTCAGCCGACGGTCGGTATCAGCTTGGTCACCACTCGACACCCACATGCACAAGGATATCACGTCAGGCTGCATCTTCGACCATGTCGACTCGCGAAGGAGGCACAAAGCCTGCTGCCACTGCCCACTCTTCTCGAAGGCGGTGATCCCAGCACTGAAGCTGATGACGTCCCGCCGCACTTTCGCAGCCTCCATGTCACTCAATACGGTAATCGCATGATGCCACTGCCCAGACTTCAAACAAGCACTTACGCCAGCACTGTAGCTAATCACATTTGGATTAGATGTAGCTTGTCCGATCCCGTTAAGCAAGGCCAGCGCTTGCTGCCACTGCCCGCACTTTTCGCAAGCACTTATGCCTGCATTGAACGCATACCTGATGACGTTCGGCTCCAACTTTGAATCCCCCATGTCACCCAGCAAAACCAATGCCAATTGCCATTGCCCGCCTCCCTCGCACGCCCTGATTCCAGCATTGTAGCTGATGGCGTTTGGCTCCAGCTTCGACTCTCGTAATTCGCACAACAACGACACGGCCCGCTGCCACTGCAAGCCCGTATCGCACACGCTGATGCAGACGTTGTAGCTGGCAACGTCTGGCTGTAGTTTCGCTCCGCGCATGTCGGCGAGCAGCGCCAAAGCCTGCTGCCACTGCCCGCCTGCCTCGCAGGCGCTCATTCCAACACTGTAGCTAATGAGATTCGGCTCCTGCTGGGCCATCACCATGTCTTCGAGTATTGATACTGCATACCGCCACTGCCCACCGTCCCTGCACGCCCTCAGCCCAGCATTGAAACTGATTGCGTCCGGGTCCAACCTTGCCCTGCGCATCGCGCTCAGCAGCAGAAACACCTCCTGCCACTGCCCTCCCCTCTCGCAAGCGCTGATTCCAGCATTGTAGCTAATGACGTTTGGTTTTAATGACCATTCAACCATATCATCGAGAAGCGACAGCGCCAACTTCCACTGCCCGACTCTCTGGCACGCGCTGATTGCAGAACTGCAACTCACAACATTCGGCTCTAACCTCGCTGCGCCCACTTCGCCAAGCAACATAAGCGCCTCCTGCCATCGCTCACCCTTCTCGCACGCGCTGACTCCAGCACTGTAGCTGACCAGGGATGACAAAAAATTAGCCTGGCGAACGACCCAACCATATGCAGTTGTAAGTACCGCAATTGTGAATATCTTCTTCGGTGGCGCTCCCTATGGGGCCACGAAACGCTGTACTGGGTGGTTGCAACGCAGGGAGCAACGGCCGTGTTGGGTGGTGGCGGACGCATGCGGGCGGTGCCACTGGAACCTTCCGTGGAGCTCCCTATGGGGCCACGAAACGCTGTACTGGGTGGGTGAAACGCAGGGAGCAAGGGCTGTGCTGGGTGGTGGCGGACGCATGCGGGCGGTGCCACTGGGACCTTCGGTGGAGCCCCCTATGGGGCCACGAAACGCTGTACTGGGTGGGCGAAACGCAGGGAGCAAGGGCTGTGTTGGGTGGTGGCGGACGCATGCGGGCGGTGCCACTGAGGGCTTCGGTGAGCTCCCTCTGGGGCCACGAAACGCTGTGCTGGGTGGGCGAAACGCAGGGAGCAAGGGCTGTGGTGGGTGGTGGCGGACGCATGCGGGCGGTGCCACTGGGACCTTCGGTGGAGCCCCCTTATTGGGCCACGAAACGCTGTACTGGGTGGGCGAAACGCAAGGAGCAAGGGCTGTGCTGGGTGGTGGCGGACGCATGCGGGCGGTGCCACTGGGACCTTCGGTGGAGCCCCTTATGGGGCAACGAAACGCTGTACTGGGTGGGTGAAACGCAGGGAGCAAGGGCTATGCTGGGTGGTGGCGGACACATGCTGGCGGTCCCACCGGGACCTTCGGTGGAGCCTCTGATGGGGCCACGAAGCGCTGTACTGGGTGGGTGAAACGCAGGGATCAAGGGCTGTGCTGGGTGTTGGCGGACGCATGCGGGCGGTGCCACTGAGGGCTTCGGTGGAGCTCCCTCTGGGGCCACGAAACGCTGTGCTGGGTGGGTGAAACGCATGGAAGAGGAAGGAGGGAGGAGGAGGTGGAAGAGGAGGAGAAGAGTAGAGGAACGCGGGGACCGTCTCTTCAAAACGAGGACCCAACACCACAGGATGGTTGGGAATAACCCGTGCGCCAAAATACGATCATGTTCGAATCTGGCTGCTTCACGTGCGAATCGTCGGGACGCAGAGGCGTTTCTACCCGATAACGCCGAGAGGACGGACCACCAAAAAACAGCGCCAGATCATCTGCATTGCCACGGAACGTGCGAAAGAAACAACTCCCGCCTGCCATGTCGGCATGCTCATCGCACCCTCTCTCGCTTGCGTGTTCGCGAGGCGTTCCGCAGTCAATCCTGCTCACGCTGCTACTCCAGCCCCGTACGCAAGTTACTGCCGCCCCGAATGTCGACGGCTCTCGCTGTGAAAAGCTACCACGTTCGATACCAGTGGGTTGCTCAGGGCCGTCGCGGAGCGGAGCACGGAGGGGACCTCTAAGAGCCGCCTGGGGCCTGATTGGAATGGGCTTCGCGCTGGTCCATCCGGGGCCCCTTGGCGACCGAGAACATCAAGCAACATATGAAACTACATGCCGACAAAGCCACTTGCAAGGGGGATGTTACATTCTCATTGTTGGGAGGCTAGCAAGTCAACGTGCCTCTTGCAAGCTGGAAGCAATAAGAGACGTGTAGAAGAAGCATGAGGGCATTAAATGGAGCATGGTATGTACGGGACATGTTACGCTGGCATGTTGAGGAAAACGTGCGAACGAACGTCCAACACGTAAAACGTCAAAGGGCGATGGCAGGAGCACAAGGTTAATGAAACACGGCAACGAGGACGACGAACCCTGCGCATGTGGATTCACATGTGCATGAAAGCGATGACAATGTTGACCAGGTATAAGGATAAGCAGGCAACGTGCCCGCTCAATGTAGAAACATGAATGCACAGTCAATGTGGGAGCATGAAAGCACCCACACGGCGATCCACGCCGACACGGCGATTCCGACGCCGAGCCCACGCCGAGCAGCACACAATGCGACCAACTACGATTGACACGCACAGCCAACGCATGGACCAATCAGCAACAAACGTCAGCGGCAGCATGTACAATGTACGACATAACGCCTGAAAAAGATCAACGGGACACGGTAGATGTGAAAGCCACTCGGAAGTGTGGCATATGTTCCAGGGCCACCGCGAATAGGGTTTCCCATTAAGTGGGGCGATTGTTTTCTCTGCGCACCCCGCGCAGGAACACCTCACTTCCTTTGTCCCCCTCTCCTCCCTTCACGCTGACCACCGCCACCCACCATCACCACCACACCACCATTATCACCCCTAACACCAGCCCATCATGATAGCCTATCATCGATCAACAGCATCGTCGTCGTCCTCACCATCAACATCAAACCACATCACACAAACACACACATCCATCCTCATCCTCATCCTCACCAGCATGAGCATCACCATCACCATCACCATCACCATCACCACCATCATCATCATCATCACCATCATCATCAGTATCGACATCATCATCATCATCAGCATCATCATCATCATCATCATCATCATCATCATCATCATCAGAATCAGCATCATCATCATCATCATCATCAGCAGCATCATCATCATCATAAACATCATCACCACCACCATTTCTCACTCGCGCATTCCCACATCTACGCACATAGTCCGCACTCATGCACGCATACACACTCAAAGACTTACACACGCACACGCACGCACACACGCACATACACACACACACACACACACACGCACGCGCGCACACACACACACACACACACACACACACGCACAAACACTCACCTTGAGGAGGTCACGAGCGGGAGCCGCATGTACTAGTGAATTGCGAGGAAGTCTCGAGCGGGAGCCCTTTCCCTAATTATGGGGTCCCCGCCCCATGTTGGCAATCCGAGCGCTCGATCGGCGCACTGTAGCAGCATAGCAATTGAGCAACCCAAGGGAGCGAAAAAAAACAGAAAAAAAAAGAAAAAGAAGAAAGTAAAAAAAACCAAAAGAAACAAAAAAAAAAAATAAAAAAAGAAAAAAAAACAACGAAAAAAAAAAAAAAAAAAAAAAAAAAAAAAAAAAAAACAAATAAAAAAGAAAAAAAAAAAAGAAACAAAGAAAAAAAAATCAATATAAAAAAAAAAAAAAGAAAAGTGAAACAAAAAAAAATAAAAAAAAAAAAGATAGAACAAAACAGATGATAAAAAAAATCGAGATAAAAAAAAGAAAAAAAGGGCAAACCGTGGGAGGGTCTCGAGCTGGAGCTCGTCTGTGGGTGAATCGCGAGGAAGTCTCGAGCGGGAGCCCCCTGCCTATGGGGTCCCCACCTCATGCTGGCAATCCGACTGCACCTCGGGCGCAGTGTGGAAGGCATGGCAATTGAGCACACCAAGGGGGCACATCGTGGGGAAGTCTCGTCTGTAAGTACTACTTACAGACGAGGCCCCTTCTCGAGACTTCCCCACGACGAGACTTCTCGAGACTTAGACTTTACAGACGATGCCCCTTCCCGCTAGTTACTAACTAGCGACGACGTCTCGAGCGGGAGCGCCCTCCCTATGGGCCCCGCACTTCATGTTGGCAATCCGAGGCGGCCATCGGCAAAGCAGCAGGCATAGCACCTGAGCACCCCCCGGGAGGCGAATCGTGGGGAGGTCTCGGGCGAGGGGCCCGTCTGTGAGTGAACAGCGAGGAAGGCTCTGGCATCCCCTGACGTCCCTGGCATCCAGGCTGAAGTCGGGCCTGTCCCTCTGCAGGAGGAAGATTCAAGAATGGTAAACAATAGTCTGGGGACGGCTTTTGGAATATGTGTTGGTCATTCTTAAAAATGTGTTGAATCTTTGTTTGCTCGTCCAAAACCCCTCTGTAGGGAAACATGCCCTCCCCTGAATGCAGGCACAGGCCCCACAATTCTCACAGTCTCACAAGCCCCACAGGGCCCGCAAGTCGGGCGCCGCACTCCCAGAGGCCGCAGCAGACCAGCCGAGAGCAGCAGGCAGCAGCAGAAAGCAGCAGAGGCCTAAAGTGGGGCTCTTTTTCCCAACCGTCCTTTGGTGTTGGGTCCTCGCTTTGAAGAGACAGCTCAGCGCTCCGCGTTCCTACCTTCCCCCATCCTCACCCTCCTTCCCCTCGTCCCTCCTCCTCCTCCCCCATCCCATCATCGTCATCATCATCATCATCATCACCATCATCATCGTAAGCATCATCAGCATCATCAGCATCATCATCATCATCCCCATCATCTTCATCATCATCATCATCATCATCATCATCAGCAGCAGCAGCAGCACCATCACCACCATCATCATCAGCATCACCATCAGCATCATCATCATCATCAGCATCGCCATCATCAGCATCACCGTCTCATCATCATAAGTATCATCAGCAGCATCATCGTCAGCATCAGCATCATCAGTACCATCATCAGCAGCAGCATCATCAGCATCATCATCATCAATCATCAGCATTATCAGCATCATCGGTCATCAACAGCATCATCATCCTCATCATCATCATCCTCGTCATCATCATCAGCATCACCACCATCATCATTATCATTAGCATCGTCATCATCATCATCAGCACCATCACCTTCACCATCACCATCATCATCATCCCCATCGCCGTCATCATCACCATCATCATCACCTTCTCATCATCATAATCATCATCAGCAGCATCATCAGCAGCATCAGCATCATCATCAGCATCAGCATCAGCATCAGCACAAGCATCATCAGCATCAGCATCAACAGTATCATCAGTATCATCATCATCAGCATCAGCATCATTCTCATCATCATCACCATCATCATCGTCATCGTCATCGTCATCGTCGTCCAATTTCGGCGCACCCCTCACACGTTTCGCTGCCCCATGGGGAGATCTACCGAAGGCCCCAGTGGCGGTACCCACATGCGTCCCCGCCACCCATATCGGCACACCCCTCAAACGCTTCGTGGCCCCATAGGGATCCCCACCGAAAGCCCCGAT